ATACTCCGCTAGATACTGTTAACTAGATATCTAATTAACAGTATCTAGACACATATATCTAGTTCACTGTATATGTAGTTAACAGTATCTAGACAGATATATCTAGTTCACTGTATATGTAGTTAACAGTATCTAGACACATATATCCAGTTCACTGTATATCTGGTTGACAGTATCTAGACACATATATCTAGTTCACAGTATACGTAGTTAACAGTATCTAGACACATATATCTAGTCCACAGTATATGTACTTAACAGTATCTAGACACATATATCTAGTTCACTGTATATCTGGTTGACAGTGTCTAGACACATGCATCTAGTTCACTGTATATCTAGTTAACAGTGTTTAGACACATATATCTAGTTCACTGTATATCTAGTTAACAATGTTTAGACACATGCATCTTGTTCACTGTATATCTAGTTAACAGTGTCTAGATACATATATCTAGTTCACTGTATATCTAGCTAACAGTATCTAGACACATATATCTAGTTCGCTGTATATCTAGTTAACAGTATTTAGACGCATATATCTAGTTCAATGTAAATATCTAGGACTAAAGGCATTATTGTTTTTCCTTTTCAGTCTCCTCAGTCTTTATCTCCGGAAGTGAACGGTTTGCCGGTATTCCAGGTGGCTTCCCTAAACATTCCATCTATTCATTTATCTGCCGGAAGTCCGCAAAACAGCCGCCGGAGCAGCGTTATTGTGGCACTCTCTAGGCAATCCAGCATCATCTCCAACATCAGCAGAAAGGTAAACATCACAAATTTCTTTCTATTAAAAGAACCTTCATTGTTCCGACTGATACACAAAGCAGACATCTTTGAACTCAATGCTTTTCAATGAAGCAAAATACTTTTTTTTTAAAAAATCCCGAGAAAAGTCTGTAGGGCTAGTAGTTATCGGCAATGTTAGCCTCCATCTATGAAAAGGTACCCCAACATAGAACCAAGTTAAGATGTCTTATATATTAGTGAATTCGAAGAATTGTATTTTCGCAGTAATAGATACACTACTGTACTCTTCCACCAGAATTTTACCTGTGATAGAATTCGGTGAATGGGATTCCACTAGTAGATTCATCGCCGTTTGTGAGAAGGCGGGTGAGCTGTATTAAGATCACCGTGCTTTTGAGTGCTGGTCGTGAGAACTGTATTAAGTTGACGTTTGTGGTTGCCTTTAGCAGTCAAGTGTATACGTTGTACTCTGTTTGTAATTGGTTAGCAACGAGCGAGAAGGACACTGTTGCAGTCACATGTAGCATGTCAACTGTTCAATGCGGACCATCCATCGAAGTAGGCGTGTTCAAATCGAAGTGGGAGTTTCTGTCAAGGTAGGCGTGTTCACATCACGTCCGAAGGTCACCAAACTGGGGAAAGTAGTTATCAACCATGCCAACCTTCATCTATGAAAAGATGACCCAACATAGAATCGAGTTAACATGTCTTTTATACTAGTGAATTGGGATTGTAATTTTGCAGCGGTAGATACTCTACTAGGTCATAAATTAATTCTTAAACAACAATTTAAGAGTATGGAATGTGTCCTCAAAGTCCAAAATATTAGCTAAAAGTGGAATTTAATGGCATCCCATTGTCTGTGTCTACATTGTAATGATACTCAACTAAATGGCTGCTTGCATTCTAGCTTTATATAGAATGTGCTTCATGCTTTGCCTTTTACTTATCACGATGATAACCTTATCTTCGTGATAAGTAACATCTTATTACCTCTAGAGTCAATAAATAGCGCAGATGGGCCGTACCATGGCGTAAAATCATTTTTTCTCCGAGCAAGGCTTTATGGTCGTAAACCAATCTTCATGTGGTCGTCAAGGGTCCTCCGCAAAAAATGCTTATGCTCAACAATAGACAACTACCAAATTTTTATTTTGCGACATAGCTAAGTTAACTGTTAACCGAGCTCAAAAATTAAAACGTAAATATTATTCTCAGAGAGGACTCATCTTTACTCTGAATGCAAATAACAACCAGTTGTAAAGCGTGCAAAGAGTTATTCCCTTCCTCAAACATACCGAACTTATTGTTACGCTAAGAGGTTGAATCTCTTTCCATGCTTTGGAGATCACCTTAGTCATGAGGCAAACATAAACAATCAAACCAAAACAGTTAAGCGGCTCCGCCACATTCGCGTTGTTTATTGACCACGGCATTTTTAGCAAGAAATTATATCATATTTCATAACCGTCGTTGAACAGTCGACCCAATTTAGGGTTTACGACTACTAATGTTCAACTCTGTAGCCTCGTAATTTTGAACGCAATCCAGAAGACAAGGGAACTCTTGGATCAAATATTGAGAGAAATTTAGCCTTCCCGGAGGACTTTTTGATGCAACAAGCCCGTATTTGTGTTACATGAAGAGGAAAACCCTGAAAACCTTCCATGGTTAGCCTTACTGCCGGGGACTCTAACTCGTGATCTGTCTACCCCTGAGTCTACCCCCCCCAGCACTGTGATCGGCACGAGACGGATGTAGAATTTGTATTGACCAGCCATCACTGGGATTCGAACCCGAATCATTGGAAGGCAAATGCTGTATCCAATGAGACTCTATCTCTTAATGACAACATAGTATTATCCAGCATAAATGATTTATCATCTAGGTTCCTAACGTGAGCGCTACCATCCCTCAAAGGGGCAGAGGACACTTCGGGAGGTTAATTGAAGAGTATAAAGACATCTTCTACATGCATTGTTTGTTCTTCACCAGTAATTAAAAATACTTTTTTTTCATATGAAACTAGAATATTCTGTGACGTTCTTTTGTAATTTTTAAAATAATGCAGATCAAGCTTTTTTAATCCCTTCTTTTCTGAAACTTTCAGTAATGTGATAATATTAAAGTAAATAAATAAAACCGTGTTAAATATACAGCAAAACAAAATAGCTATGTAGCATTACGGAGTTGACTACAGATATTTAAAAAAATAATGCATAGCAATGTATTGTATAATACGACTATCAAACTTTTAAAAAAAAAGAGAATGAAAAGCTTACCTCGTTTGCAGAAATTATTTCTGGCTTTCAGCCATGAAAAAATTTGTAAGGAAAATACTATTTGTCTGTAATTCATGTCCATTCATAGAACTCTTTGGGACCTTGCTTCAGTCTTCAAACGAAAGGAAGCTTCAACGGTTGGAAGAACCACAAACGGAAGAAAAGTGAGAACGAAAGTTCAGAGAATGGTTCCGGTTCCGAAGATGTTGTTCTCAACAATATGACAAACTCTCACTCTTCTTGGTATGTAACATTTCTTTAATCTTTATTTCCCTTTATTGGTTCCATGCATATACATAACTATATCAAGATGCTTTAGACAATTCGTACATGCATATTTTCCTAGATATGCGTGGTTTCAGTCCTTGGCTATCTTAAAAGCTGACCGGCTATCTTAAAAGTTGACCTTAATATCACTGCTATAGGATCATACCAAACTATATGTCTTTCAGAGACCTGTCAAAAACGAAAAAAATGGCAAACAATCAAAACAAGAACATTTATATTCATGTTGCTTTATAAACATTCTATATACAGTATACTCTAGAGATCTCAAAGTTGAAGTGACGCTAAAAAATTTCGAGATAGCGAGTTCAGAACCAAATATGTTCCAAAAAGTAGAAAAATATACTCTAAAATATCATTCTAAAAAGTAGAGTAATGAAACATAAGAGTAACTACGCATACATGTTTATATAATGATAGTTGGCCATAAGTCTAAACACAACAATTAGAATTTTATTTTTAAAAGTAAGACAAAAATAATTATGCACTGAATGGAAAAAAATTGCAATAAACTTACATTACGATTTTTCCGAAATAATTAGTTTTCTATTTCGAAAGGAATTCGACATAACAAGGTTTTGAGAAGTATCCCTTCGACATAGGAATTCAAATTAACATTAGGTGAATATACAATGCCAAGGGGACATTTTTTTTTCTTGTTGGACATAACAAGGTTTTCAAGAAATTGAAATCCGAGTTATTGAAAGTATACTGTATTAAACTATCTCTGGTTTGGAAAACATACTTTTTCTATTCATTTTCTTTTTTAGTTTTTTAATTCCTGATATTAGTTCACACTCTCCCTATATCTTGTTCAAGTTTTCAATCGTTAATAAAATATTTTTTTATTCATACACTCAAGTTCAAATACATTTTTTTTTGAACTTGTAGTGGATGTCAATACTGGGACTTGCAGTGGATGTTAATACTGTTTTTTCAAATATTAATTCATTCATTAAATAGAGATAAACGAAACACGAAATGGACTTTTCTAATGGGTTAAGCGTTAGTCATTGTTTTAAATTTATAAGCCATTCAGTTTTTCACACATTTTAAAAATAGCATCAGTGAGAATTTTTAGCTTATAGCTCTAATCGAACAAAAAAATAGTTTATGGCACACATTTAAGTATTTAATTATTCTATATTCGCTGCGTCAGATAAATTCAATAAAGAACATTACGTGGTAGCACGTGTGGTTCGCGTCACCAAACTTATACTTTAATAGTTGTCTAATACTACGACCCTTTTTTTTTAATTCTTACTATTAGTTAACACTCTTCCTATATATATTTATGCATCTTGTTCAAATTTTCAATCGTTAATAAAATACTTTTAACTCATCCCCTCAAGTTCAAATACATTTTTTAAGCTTGTAGGGGATAACATTTGATGTCAAGACAATTTTTTCTAATATTAATTATATTAAGAGCACAAAATTTTTTTTTTTTATAAAATGCAGACAGCTGTTTCGGATGCTCAAAGGGCAACCTTCATCAGTGCAACAGGTTGTTGCACTGATGAAGGTTGCAACAGGCTGTTGCACTGATGAAGGTTAATGAAGGTCCTGTTGCACTGATGAAGGTTGCCCTTTGAGCATCCCAATCAGCTGTCTGCATTTTATATTTTTTTTTTTGTGTTCTTTAACGTTGTTTGCGTTTAGTTTGTATTGTAGCACAAAAGTCGCCCACTTGTGTGCTTATTAATTCATTTATTAAATTTAACTAATTAATTTTAGTTTTATATGGGAGGAAAAATTTTAATCATTTAATAAAAAGTAACTAAAATAAAAAATTTCTCTATTGACCTTGGTAGGAATTGACTTTTTAAAAAAATTATATTACTTGTTTATTTGATATTTCAATAACTTCCATTTTTTTCAGCAGTTAAATCTATTCGCTCTTTTTTACAGCAATAACAATGGAGAACACGCCCATTGCAATGGAAGCATCCCTACTCTTCAGAACACCCCGAATAACAAGCGCCCTCTCCTCATTCAGAACAACAACAGCCCAAAAGTTCTCAGCCCCCAAAACTCCATCAAGAGTGTCTCGCTGTCTCATTATCAACGAGACAACGGTGCCGCCACTCCTGTACCAAACAGCGAACAGCCACACGCACCCTGTAGTCGCCAAATGTCTCTTAATAGCAGCATACAAAGCCAAAACACTCTGAGCCCATCCAACACATATTATTTGGCGAGTAGGCAGACTTCCATATCTGGTGCTTCTTTCAAGGATGATTTCAAGCCAAATAATTTGGAAGAAGCTCAGAACAAAGTGGAGAATTGTAGAACGTCATCAGTTTGTGAGCTTCCACCAAAGGTATATGTTTTTTATTTGCATTGCACTGTTTTATAAAAAGACATCCTTCTTCTTCTTGGACACTACAGCCTATGACAGGCCAAGGCCGTCCAAATAAGTTTTTGACATCTCGATCTATTCTGTGCCATGGCCTTCCAGTCAGTTATTCCCATTATCTTTGGGTCCCTCTCAAGTGCGTCCAGCCACCTAGTCCGTGGACGACCCCTTTTTCTTGTACCTTCTGGATTAGAAAAAAGTACTTTTTTGTGGGGTTTTGGTCTTCAGATCTATAAAGGTGTCCCAGCCATCGAATGCGATTGGCCTTAATAACATGAACTATGTCTGGTTGCTTATACTTTTTATATAACTCATGATTGTAAACAGTGCGCTATTTATTATTCTCATAGACTGTACCAAAAATTCTTCTAAGTATCCCTCTCTCAAAAATCAGCAATTTGTTCTCTTTTTAATAAGAGTTCAGCACTCACTACCATTTCAGATCACAGGCCGTAGGAGTGTTTTGTATACGTTAATTTTTGTCTTTTGTTGAAGAAATTTACTTTTCAGTTGGCTTTTTAAACCAAAATAGCACTTGTTTGCATTGCTAAATGGCTATCGATCAAAGAGACATCCAAGATAGCAAAATAAGGTTTATTTTCACCCAGCAAAAACCTTTTCATGTAAACCTAAAAAGGTTTGTTATACGTGTTTCCCTTCTATCCTTAAAGCAAGATCTGTGACCATCTGCTCTATTATACGCACATTACCCTAATCCAAAACCTTGGAAAACAACCTTTCATATAAAAACCTTAAAACAAGGTTAACTTAGAGTTTTCAAGCGTGAAAAAATTCTTTAATAAAGGCAGTCTTAAGGTGAAAATAATCTTGAATCTAGGTCATTACAAGGTTTCTTTTCGCTACGTCTTGTATACTCAGCTAAAATCCACCTTGTCGTGAAATTTTAATGGACAATGCAATTTGATCCTATCGCTAGTGTGACGTCAGCTAGACGTCAGCTAAGACGTCATTATGGACCTAAGTGACCATTTCAAGTGACAATACTTTTTAAAAAAGGTTTTTAAAAAATTATTTTTACTCTTTTCAAGATGAAAGGTTTGCAACTGCAATATTTTTGCTTTATTGAAAAAAAGGTTTTTAGTACAAACATTTTCGCGACAACAAAAAGAAAATTCCGACACGGGGTCGCCGTAAGGTTACATGTTTTATGGGATATACTAGGTTTGAAAAGGTTCTAACTAGGTTTGAAACTTTAACAAGAGGGAAAAAAATTCATCGAGTTTTAACTTTTCTTTGCATTTCACAAAGACTTCGCAGAAATCAGAAATACCTAAAAATTTGCTTTTACAACTGTCATACTTCAAGCAAAATAAAAACTCAATCTGAATTGTAGGTCTATAGACTAGGTCAGAACTTAATCATTATAGTCTTAAATACCAAAAATAGTTATTCATTCGCTATGTGGCCAGTAAGATCTCTTTTGCAGTCTAAAAACTCTAAATAAAGGGAAACTTGATTCTTTTATCGAAGTTATGCATTGACTAGAGATATATTAGAATGCTGATAAGATGGCAGGTATAGTTCACTCACCAGAAGATGGCACTTGACTCCGCCTTCATCACGTGGTATCCGACGATACAATTTGGCAATTTTCGGGAGAAGGATGTGATCAATCCTAAACAAGGTTTCTATTTTAACAATCGTTATGGCAAAAATATTTATTTCGCAATCTTTATGTGCATTTTTTTAGCATGCCGACCGGCCTGTGTAGGGGGCAGGGAGCTGTCCTTGCATAAGAAAGGTTCTGGGTTCGAATCCCGGGCAAGGCATGGATGTTTCTTTCTCTCTATCTGTGCTCTATTCCTTTTTCCTTTGTGTGTGAATGTGTGGATGTGACCCGCCCTATAAACGGGTTGTGGTAGTGCGACGTGGACGATGCTGCTCCACCGCCGTGGCTTCGCCACAGGTGCCCACTGGATATCGAGAAGAGAGTTAGCAATTCTGGAACTTTCTCTAGCCAATGGACAATAGTTCCAAGTGCCCGCCATTAAAAAAATTTTTTTTTTAACATTAAACATTTCATAAATTTGATGATATTTCTCTCTTTTGAGTAAACAGTTTGTCCTCTGCGTCTGAGGAAGTGGAGACAAGTGCCAACTCCTGGTGAACAAACTATAAATTGATTTTTAAGGTCAACGTAAAATGCATGTGAATCTCTGATTGTAGGTTATACTTAGAATATAAGAAACGATAACCATTTTGTCAATGTGATGAAATTAAAATTAGTTGATTGAATACTTAAGATAAAGTGAAAACTAAATCTCAAATTAATTTTAAATATGTAGGTACATAGATACTAAAAATAAAAATCCATTTTGCTCACACGAGAACAGTTAAAATAGTTTAAGCAGTTCAACCTACTGTAAAGTGAGAGCTAAATCTGTGATTGTCTTATAGGTTAAAGGTTGCAGTACAAAGATCGCCATTTAGTCAGAATATTCGCGTAAAATCACATAGTACGAAAAAATCCCTCATTTAACATTTAAGTGAATAATTTAATTTTTTATGTATACAACATCTTATTATGTATACAACATCTTATTAACACTGGTGTAAGAAATTAGGAGAATTTGCAAACTTGGTCGATTATCTCTAGAACTACTGGACCGATTTTAATTAAATTTGATACACACATACATGGATACAATACAAAACAAATAACCATTCAACAATTGTAATGCACACTCATGATTTTGAGTAACACTCATTGGAGCAAGAAGGTAGGAAATTGCCACAGGACAATTCAGGACAATTACCGCAGGAAATGATAAACTGCCTTATGAAATCACGCTACAAGACCTGTATATCTGTACAAGAGGCCTGTATAAAAGGCCTGTATAAGAGGGGACCATGGTCCCTATTAATCCATTTTTTTTGTTTATTCTGCAACCGCTGTTTCATACCTTCCGACTCCAACGAGTGTCACGCACGATCATGCGTGCGCATTACAGTTGCTGAATGATCATTTGTTTTGTATTGTATCAATGTATGTACGTATCAAATTTCCTTAAAATCGGTCCAGTAGTTCTAGAGATAATCGAACAAGTTTGCAAATTCTCCTAATTTTTTACACCAGTGTATAGAGAATTTGAGTTCTCTTATAATGTTACTATACTATTCCTTTAATCTCTTAACTTGTTTTCAATCATTTAGTGTTGCGGACATTTACCATTTTAAAAATTGTAACGGTAATTTTTCAGCAAATCAATCTTTACGGGGCGATAAGGCACAGAACACCGAGGTTTGTTTCATATTGCCCCCACAGAAGGGGAAAAGAAGGAAACAATCAAGATTATAGTTCGGACACTGAGGATTTCAAGATTTTTAAAGATTGCTATCACAAGGTTTGCATTATCAAAAAGTATCCGGTGTGCTTTTTAAATACATGTCACATATACAATTAATTTAAAAATCTCTTTTACAAACAAATTTAAATTTTCGATTCTTTTTAATAATATGTCCACTTTAACGTCAACATTTTTCTGGAAGGTAAACCAATATCTAGGAACGGTCATAATGTTAATTCAATAACGTAGGTACTTTATTTACGTCGCACTAGAGCAGCACAATGGGCTATTGGCGACGATCTGGGAAATATCCCTGAGGATGATCCGAAGACATGCCATCGTAATTTTGAACCTCTGCAGAGGGGATGGCTCCCCTGTTTTGATAGCCCGACGACCTGAGCGCGAGGTCAAGCACTTTACGGTAGCACAGTTTCATGAACAATGATACCGCGCAACCTCGGTCCTTAGGCAGGCTAATCTAAGTGGTCACGCACCCACTTACTGATCACAGCCAATGATGCTTGACTTCGGTGTTCTACTGGGAACTATGTCTTTACGACCAGTCCACTGCAGGACTTAGATCGCTAACAGTATACCCTTCTAAATATTCAAATTTTGAAAGTTAAATAGTTAAGTTAATAGTTTTCCCACAATTCGCGCTTCTAATTTCAAATCTGCAATCGATTTCTCTTTAAAAGCTTAAGATTTTATGCTGTTTAATAATATATTCCTAAATAGGATTTTTCAAAATTCACTTTAGTGAAAACTAAATGCCTCCACTTCTTCACTACGTTAGTAATAGGAAGAAAGCGATAAATATATTTCAGTGATTTATGATGCGGTACGTTAAGTCATATGTTTTTTGTTTTCAGTACATACATTCTTTCTAAACCTGTACAATCAAACAAAAAATAAAACTAAATTAAAAATATTATTTTGAAAGACTCGTTTCCCAGTATCTTCAAACAATTAGCGACCATAGCATCGCATCTGAAGAAAAATGGGCTCTTAGATTAAAGATGAGATGTCAAAAGATTGTTAAACTACATACGTTTTTCGTGACATTTTTTGTGTTTCAGACAATCAGTTACGAAGATAAGTCACTAAATAACAAAACAAAAAAAAATCAATCTCTCGTAAGTGACATGTATTTTTAAAGCCACTTCGAGCACAAAAATAATTTCACATGATAAAAGCACACTATATTCTCGCATCAAAGCACAAATGCTTCACAAATTTCTTTTCTTTGACGTTTCTGCAGTTAGTTTTGTTTCTTCTGCCTGCCAATAAACCGCTTTTACAATTTTTTCCAATGCTTACTTTTATTTTCTTATAAACGAATAAAGAATATTTTTCCAGAATTTAATAAGATAAATTGATGAAATATAGATTTTTTTCATCCTCATCAATTAAAAAAATTATATTATTTGTTTTTGAGAATTGTTTTTTTTAATTCTATCTTTTTCGCTAAGCACTCTTTCTGTTTTATTTAATGATGTTTTAATTTTATTTTTGAAACCTGTTCTTAATGTTTTTAGCTTTGTTGGTTCATTGAGCCTAAAGGATGGATTAAAGAGCGAGAAGACTATTCACTTTTTCTGTTCTCAAAGTCCCATTGGTAAGTAGAGATAATCCATTACTTAACTATTAAAAAATAACCATTATTTGATTGTTTTGTATTTGAATGTAGCTGGAGTTAGTTAGTTATTTGATGTTTTGGGCGTAAGAGTCAGAAATGGCTATACCGCACTACAGTCCCTGAGCAAATTATTCGACTCACTATTAGATTCTTTGTAAAATCTTAATTATCATTAGATACTATACAGCTTTATTGTTTTTACGCGACTGAAACCGGTTTGCACTTGTTTACGTTCGTCTATCAATGGGTGGAATTAGGCGATACATAATATAAATTCGACGTTTGGATAAATTACACGATATATTATATAAATATGGAATATTTCTTACATCAGGTATTATATTATTATATTGTAATAATTAGATCAAATTATTAGACGCATTGTAGTTTTTTCATAATTACATGATTTGCACGAGTTTATAGGCAATACTTTTATATATTTAAACATACATGTAATGGATTTTTATTCAGTAGGTTTTTTATATACTTTCCATTTGTATTTATTTCTGACGTATTGCATGACAATGTCAACCCATGGATA